CTTAAAACAAAAAAAGATAATAAAAAAAAAAAATAAAAAGTGGGGCATTTTAAAGAGCTAATTTAGCTCTTTTAAATGATATAAAATTTTTCCTTATAACCCTTATAATTAGCCTTATAATCTTTAGTTTAAGAAAACAGGGGTTTTTTTTACTTATAATACATTTATAGGTATTTTAGTTATGTAATGTAATGTATTTAAATACAATACACGAAAATACAATACAATACAAAATACAATACACAATACACTTGTATTTACTATATTCGTAAGAGCTCTGTTTCTACCTGCCCACATGCTGAAAGTGAGGCTGAGCTCAGCCACTTTTCAAGGTGGCACTACAGCTTGTGGCATAAGGCAGTTGAGTACTCCGTATTATGCCTCCCCTTCTTAACCAGGATGTAGGATGCGCCTCGGCCGTTTGCTTTGCTTGCTTGGGCAAGTGGGTTGCCTCCCGCATCTGCCCCCACGCGACGGCGTCTGGGTTGCCAGGGGGTGCAACGGCATAACGTCAGAACTCAGAAGGTCGCCTGAACAGCTCTAGTGCTCTCTCTCTCAGGAAGTAGATAAAATTCAAGAAATCTCCTTCACAAGCGTAACGCTACTCACCTTTCAACTTTCAGAATCTAACGCCTCAATCTACTTACAACGAAAACGACAAGCACAACTGCAGCTATATCTACAGAAACTTAAATAGAAAAAAAGAGACAAAAACAGAAGAAAAGAAATCATGCGCGCCGACAAAAAGCCACTCTGGCTTGTCTCCCCTCGTCTCGGCGCCGACGAATACCGGGAAAAGCTGATGGGCAGCGTCGTCAAATACCCCGACCTCCCCACCGAACGTCGCATCCCCTACCGATCTTCCAAGTTGCCTAAAGAACTTGTCGCCGATTTGGACCCCAAGCCAATGCGAGTATATAATGTGCGGTTCTGGGAGAAGAATATCCACGATGCGTCTCTGAAGACGACGGTCCAAGATATCATCAACGCTTTCGTTGACAGCGCCAAGGAAAGCAGCAACGACAACGTGGCGACCGTCGCTCGCGTGTGGCACATGGACGCGCCCGGGGAAAAGTTCAAGGACCTGCTTCGCAACAAGCAGTACTTTGATGAGTTGCTAGAGCTGCTCCAGAGCAACCATGGGGTTGGGTACTTTGTTTCGGACATTGTCACGCTGGTGAACCTCGAAGAGACCAAGACTCATGGCACCGGTAGCGCTGTCGGTGCGACGGCCCAAGTCCCCGTTGATCCCAGTACGGGCATCAGGGTTGGCGCTGGTGCCAAGTTTAGCGTCGTCCGTGAGAAGGGACACTCGGCGAGTTATGAGGACGAGTCCATCGTGTTTATGGGATACCGCAGGATTGAGCTCGAAAAGGTGAATGGCACTCGTGCAAAGCTGCGTCGTTTTTTCCAGGGCCCCAAGCATGGTGTAGCTATCAAGGACAGGCACGACTACTGGCCAGAGTTGGTGGAAGGGCCCGTCCAGGGGACTGTTGATCCATTCCTGGGCTTGAATGATAAGGAAACGCCTGGCGAAGAGACAGCAGAGATGCGAGCTGTGCGCGAGGAGCAGGAAAGACTGGCACAGGAGGAGAATGAAAGAAGCCAGATATTTGATGCAATAGCGGAGGAGTTGGGCATCGATCCAGTTGTTGGTTGCAACCACAGGGTGTAAACGGCAGCTGAGGGATGACAAGTGACAAATGACAAATTATGGAATGATGAATGACGGATGGAAGAGGGAGCGCACTGAGCTCCTTTGTTTTCTTTGCTTTGTATTCCGCATGAGATACCACATGGCGTGTTTCCCTGCGTTACAACGGAGCTGTTGTGTTTCGTGAGCGAAGCAGGATTTTACTTTTACAGGGAACTACATGGTCAAGCGTTTGTTCGTACAATAGAGCATAGTAAGGTTTGGGGGCGATGGCTGAATAGATAAAGATTATGGACATGGACTATCAGGTGACGTAACCGTATTGCCATATAACTGCGTGTCGGCTACGTGACGACTTTGCTCGACTGGTGTTGGCTCAGACTGCATGCATGATGGGCCGGGTTGCACATGCGCAGATGCTTGAGCATGGACAAATCCTGAACTGCCTGCGTGTAAACGTGCCCTGGCAATCTGGTAACCGATTGGCCAAGGACCAAGAAACCTGACCAGACGCCATCAAAGCCGACATGAAGCAATGCCTTGTTTGGCTGCTTCGGCCTGGCCACCAGGTCTCGCAAGTGTTGGGTCGGGCCAGGTCATGTCAGGTCATGTCAGGTTCATGTCAAGTCATGTCAAGTCACGTCTGGTCGGCCATGCCAGCCCTGGCCGGATGCAGCTTCGATCCTAAATCAAGGTCGAATGAAGCGCTGCTTTCAATTGATGTTCAGCTGCGGACACTAGTCGCCTGACACGCCCGGCGCATTAACACCAGTTGACCAGACGTCACCCATCTGGCGCACCAAACACCAACTTGGTATGTTCAAGCGCTCTCAAGAGACTCGGGAGGCTTAGTGCCGTCTCTAGTGGTCTCTAGCGGTCTGTAGTGGGGGGCGGATGCGAGCCTAGCGCCCAGCCGTCCATGACGCTGGGCATGCTCGAGGTGCTGAACATGAATTGACACTGTCCTGGCAGTGTCGGTGCCTCCCAAAACGCGCTAAAGCCGACGTACGGAGTACTGATGGCTGCATGTGCAGCGCCACCGCATGTCATAATAAACCTGGCTGCCACGACCTCCCACGTCCACAGCCGCTCCTTTATGTTTCCCTCAAACAAAGCCATACTTCCTCAACTCCAACTTATTGCATCATTAATCCGCATCCGCCTGCTCATTTTTTTTTTCCGCAGCTGATGTCGCTTTAGCGACTGCTGCTTGTCCCCTTCCCTTTCTTTTTTTGCTTAAAAAGCTCTATTCAATTTTTCTTCTCTCTTCTTCTCGTTCTCTTCACTTGATTTGGTTTTCACAAACTTCAGTGTCCCACACCACATTACATCAACCGACACGCATTGATTCACATCCACGATGGAGTCACTTAAAGATATATTCTATCATTTCCGGCGATCTTTTTCCAAACGTAGGACCGGCGAGAACAGTGGCTTACGGGTACTTTGCGATCCCGAAGATGCCAAGATAGAGTAAGACGTCCCCCGGCGACCATGTTTAACGTCGACACCATTTGACGACCGTCAGCTGACATGCAGACACCAGCATCGTTGCCGTTCACGGCCTTGGTGGACAAGGCTTCAGCTCATGGGTTACCTTGGACTCCAAAGCCGGCAAGCCCAAACCCTGGCTGCAGGAACTTCTCGGCGCAGATATACCCAATGCCCGTATCATGACGTACGGCTACATCTCCGACGGCGTGAGCTACAGCTACGTCGTTCGCAACATCGTCTATGGCCGTGCGCTCCACCTGGCCAAGCTGCTTGCTGCCAAGCGCCAGCAGGATAAGGCTAGCCGTCGGCCTCTATTCTTCATCGCACACAGCCTGGGCGGGTGGATTGTGAAGCGGGCGCTGATTATTTCGAGCGAGGCTGCAGACATGCGGCTGAAGGATATCGAATTGTCTACCTGCGGCGTCGCCTTCTTTGGTACCTTGTCTCCTGGGCGGCCGTCCTCGCCTTCGCCGCTGGCACAGGTCATTAGGAGGACAACGTCGAATCTAACCGACTGGGACACATCACGGCCCGACAAGGAGTCCTCTCCACAGCAGTCTCTTGCCGGCGATATTGAGTGGCTAGAACACCAGATGGAGGCCTTCAAAGCCATTGCTGCCAGTCTGCCTAGTTTATCGTTCTACGAGACCAAGAAGACGCAGGACGGCTATGTTGTTGAGCAACGGTTTTCCATGGCCGGCTCCGATGGGGTGCAGATTGGGCTGAAGGCTACCCATTCGGACCTGATCAAGTTCCATGGTCGAGATGCCAACTACCAGGTCTTTATTGAAAACTTCCGTGCCATGGTGGATACGAGCACAACGTCTGGCTTGCTTGAATCGAAGCAGAGGGCTTTTGATTTTGTTGCAGGTGGGTAAAATTGCCATGTTTTGTGCCAAGGCACCACACAAAATTGCTGACTTGATTAGTGCACCGTCTCGAATACCTCGCCCAAGGATACTCAATCCCGTACCGACTTCCTGGCGAACCAAATACCGTGGTCCCTCGCCAGGATCTTCTCGACCGCTTGGAGCACATGCTAAGCTCCGATGTAAATCCAATGATTCTGAAGCTCGGAATAGTCAACCTTTGGGGCTTGGAAGGTACCGGCAAATCCATGCTGGCTAGATATTACGCGGACATCCACCGCGACAAGCTATCCTTTGTTTTTTGGCTCAGAGCAGAGAGCTGGGAAACTATCGCAGCCAGCTATCTTGAGTTTGCAAACACCATTGTTGAGCACTACGCCAAAGGGATACCCAGAAGTCAAGTCGAAAATGATTTAGGATTTGCTGGTGTCGAGGATATGTTGAAGGTGAAAAGCATCATGCAACTAGACGCATCTCGCGTCAGATCAGTTGTGCGTTCCGTCAAAGATTGGCTGCTCCGCCCAGAAAACTCCGGATGGCTGCTCGTTTTTGACAACGTAGAGCCTTCGTACGATATTTTCGACTTTATCCCTGTTACTTTATCCGGGAAAATTATATTGACATCTCGAGACAGCAACTGTTGCTCCTGGAGCACTGAATTGCAAGTTGATGGCATGGAAGAAGAGGAAGCCGTGCGCTTATTGGATGCCATTGTTGGGAGCAACGCGGCCCAAGATCCGGCTGAAGGTGAGAACTTGCACATATGTTCCTACAAATCGGTCCAAACTAACGTATACAAGCGGCGGCGGCGTCCGTGGTCGTCGAGCAGCTTTCGTACCACCCTCAAAGTATAGCCACGGCAGCCGCTACCATACGAAATAAAGGCATGAGCATCTTGGAGTACCATACCATGCTTCAGGCATCAACGTCCATGACTCTGCTTGGATCGGCTCTTGATCAATCTCCTTTGACAAAGACAGTCTTGCAGATCAGCGCCATGCTCTCCACATCCGTAATACCCGTGGCCCTGTTTAGCGCCACGTCGCATTTAGACGAAGCCCCTGAGCGACTAAGATCTATTCTCGGAGAAATAAGAGGTATGATGTGCGTGCGTATATTAGAGACCGATGTATAAGCTAACCTAATTTTTAGCCTTTCAGGACCCTGACCAGCTGGATGATGTACTACAATATCTTCTGGACCAAAACTTCATTCAAACTCCGAGTTCCCCTTCCGATACCGCCTCATCGTTGGTCCCCTCATCCCCCTCATCCCGCTCTTCCCTGCCTTCTTCACAAACGTCTACGTGTTTCGATGCTTTTGTTGTTGAACCAAAAGCACGAGAATACGTTCGCGGGATGCTCTCAGACGAGGAAAAAGTTGACAACGCCTGGATGGCATGTAACGTTTGTGTCGACGGAATCAAGAATAAGGCTGCACAGTCAACCACAGTACAGGAAATTCACGACTTCGGCAGGATTATGGGTCCCCACGCGAAGGCATGTTTTGACGACTGGTCTGACATGCTGCAGGCATCATCAGATGAGGTTGATGTTGCCTGGCATGTTCTCGGTCAAGTGTGCATGACACAAGGCGCCATTGACCAAGCTATCGGGTGCTTCGAGTTATCTCTACGACAGCAGCCGAATCGAATGGACGTCAGAGAACGTATACAGGTCGCCTTGTGCCTGTCGTCTCTGTTGCAGCAGACGGGGCAGTATACGAGGAGCAGTGAGGTACTCGCAGGCATTGACATTGCTTCGGCCGACCAAGATCTAGGATTCAAAGTTGCACTGGCACGTGCATCTGCCACAGCTGCTTTGGGCGAACTAGAAGACGCAAAAGACCAGTACCAAATGCTTGAGCTTGAACAAGAGGAGGCACTCGGCCCACTTGATGTCACCACCGTGAGCACTGTCCAAAAACTAGCCGCGACCTTCGAACGATGGGGCAAACACGACGAGGCACAGGCTCTGTACCGTCGAGTGTACATTTCGTATCAAAATATATACGGCCATAGCGACCGCATGACTCTCGATGCGCTTGACGATCTGGCCAACAGCTATAAGGAAAGCTACGCCATTGACGAGGCCGAAACGCTATACAAACAATCAATCGATATCCGGACACGGGCTCTTGGGCCACATCATCCCCAGACCGCGTATGCTATACAGAATCTCGCGGTGATTGATGATGTTCGCAGTCGCTACGCCGACGCCAAAGTCAAGTACCAACAGGCACTCGACATTATCGCCCCTACCCTTGGCAAGGGACATCCTTTATATACCACCACACTGGAAAACATGGCATTTTCGTCCCGTTGCCACGGGCATTTCCTCGCCCAGAGTCCGCCCCCTCGACCTGCTGCATCCCGCACATTATCCACAATTGAGCGTGAAAAGACCAAATCCATCAAAATCAAGGAGGACGCCTTGGCGAGAGAAGTCAGCTGTCGAAGGGCCTTTGAAGAAGCCGAAAAGTTGTACCTGGACGTTTTGACCATCAAAAAGTCTGCAAGGCAATTGTATTCGGAAGAGCATATTGTTTCCACGGCGTCCAAGTTGGCAGAGATGTATGAAAACGAGGCGTTCTTTGACGAAAACAGAAACGAGCTGGTAGAAAAGCTCAGAGTCATTTTGAGAGAGTGTCGTAGACGGGGGACGATATAGATGGTCGGCGGCAGGGAAAAATATGGATATCACGGCGGTTTCTGGTGCTCTTTTTTTTTTTTCGTCGTTGTTCCTCTCTGACGACTCATGACGTTTAGCCATATACCCTAGCCTGTCTTTTTTTTTTTTTTCCTTTTTTTTTTCGTCGTTTCAAAGCCAAAGCAAAAATACATGTGTGTTGAGTTCCTATCCTAATGTCGCCGCCTGACTCAATTCCCTGTGTTTTGCTATCATACAAGCCGTATTTTTACTTTTTCTCTTTTGGTTCTTGTCGCCAAACCCCCAATGAATATTGTAACAACGCCGAATATGCAAGAAATCAAGTCGCTTGTTGTTGCACGTACCAAGATCCGGTGTATATATGATCCCCCTTCCCAAGGTCACCCAAAGTAGCAAATAATCTCCAGTGATGCATGCGCCCTTGCCCACTGCCAAAAGACCGGTCGTAACCTGAGAAGTACGTCCCGTGAGAAGCAAACCTTACTCATGGATGTCCTGCACGGGCGGCGGGGGCGGCGGCGCAGGCGGCTGGTCGGAAGGAGCGGGGGGCGGGGGCGGGGGCGGCACGTGCTTTCCCCC